AACTCGTATATACACATATTCACCCTAACACAGATTACAAGCCTTTTTTCTAGTATCTAAACGTTGTTCCTCCTTATCCAATAACTAGAAGAGAAATTTTTGTAAGAGATTTTTCTACAAAAATGGCTTATGGCTAGAAAAAATATAACTTTATTACTTAATGAAAAATCGCATGATAATTGAAGTGATTTAAGGGAAAATAATGTTATGAATAATGTTTGAAGAGTTTTGATAGGTAATATGGTGACCGATAGGGATACACGTATTTCGTAGAAAGAGAATTTGAGAGATCCGTTGAATTATTCGTGAAACCTCATTTCGTTCTAAACAGAGAAAATGATCTAACAGATGAGTTGGCTTAGAAAGTGCCAACTATTAAATTCAATCATTGATTGTTTATTCAATTGATGTTAGAAAAGAATTGTTCATTTTGAAAATAGATCATCAGGTCGCTAGCGCTTCTCGAACTTTACTTTATACAATATTTTTCTCTTAAGAACGATTAATCTAAATTTGCATAGATAACCAATGTCCCGTGAGAGAAAGGGAGAATGTAAAAATGGGAGGATAAAATGCACTCGTTGTAAGTCGAGATACTATCGTCGCGCAAAAGCTTCTTCTTAAACTTTTACTTTTTTCTTCTTCTTCTTCTTCTTCTTCTTCTTCTTCTTTCGTCTCACGAGAGTGCAGCTTATCCTACAAACCTCGAGATTTTTTTCTTACGTTATTTATCTAGCAGATGATAACGTACATCTAGTTTATTAAAACAATTCATTTTGTTTTCTTTTTCTTTATCATATTACATTTTCAAAGTATTGATTAAAATCTCATTTTGTCAAGTTTCTCATTGTATTCGTTCGATATCATCAATTTGAAAAATCTTTCTAAATCGTATGGGGAAACGATAGAAAGTTTTCCTCTTTTTGTTATTGCTAGTTGAAGAAACGAAGCGAATTTCTAAGTTGCATACCAACTACAACAAAATATAATACACATTATTCCAGCTGGTATCTTCTTCTTCTTCTTCTTCTTCTTCTTCTTCTTCTTTTGCCGTATAGACCATGCAAGTGTATAACGTGGAAATGGTATTGTTACGACAACGATGTGCTTCCGGCAATGTTGTTGGAATTCACAATAAGAACCTACCACTATCCGGAAATAGAGAAAAAGAGAAAAAGAGAAATGCATTTATTCGAGAATAAATTAGTCAAGTTAAAAAACAAGAAGATATTCGAAGAACAATTTTCTTATCTTTTGAATATCACTTTCAATATTTACTTTACTAGTTTTATTATTCGTCGAGATAAGAGGAAACAAACTACAATATCATTTTAATTGTTATACATTTGATATTTACATTGATTATTAATCCATAATTAAACCCAGAAATAATTTCATATCTAATGCATATCTAATGCAATTTAGAAAGAACTAATTTTGAAAAAAACGAATAATACCTTTAGCGATCACGTCATGATGACCTTTCAGAAGTAGTAAAAGTTACTTTTCAGGAAATATCCTTTGGGAAAAATTGTCGTCCCATTTATCATTCGATTTTATTTGAAAATACATTATGCAGCGCAATGTTGTTTTCAATTATTCCATCGTATATTTAACGTGACAAAACGTAGGTGTTACACTTACTATTAGATTCTTGGGAAGATAATACAAAAGCAACCTATGCTGTTGGATTAACAGATTATGTTCACAATATATCGAGGATAATCTGTTCATAGACGCAAAGGAAATTTGGTAAGGACTTTGTATTCTATACAAGTTGACCGTAACATATACATGTATGTGCTTTGAAGATGGTTCAAGAAATTCTCAAATTTGTAGATAGAAAATGATTACATTTGTGAATATTTTTAAAAAGGAGAAACCAATTTTAAGCTACCTAAATTACCTTTCCATTGAATAGAAAATGCTTTTAGATGAAAATGCTTTTGAAAGAAAAGAGGTTGGTTGTTCTATTAAAAGCGTTAACCTTAAAGATAACCAAGAATTCGCAGTGAACGTTTGAGGTGTCTTTTGATATATATATAAAGGAAAGAGTAGAAATAACTGAAGCGGTTTAAATTCCTTGAAATTTCTTTCAACAATTTCTTCAACATTCTTCAAAATGATTTGAAGAATACTCCAAGTATAATGTCTTTAACATCGACGTGGTAATTACTTCTGATTGAAGATTGAAGATTAAACTGGGACAAAGATTAAAAATGATTGTAAAATATACACTTACTTTTTACACTTTAATTGATATTCCTGTGTGTGTGTGTGTGTGTGTGTAAAAAGTCGTATAAAAAGGGACTACTTTTATTGTTAGCTTCGAAAAGTAGACAAATTTGCGGGTGTAACATATTTGAGAGAAAGACATACAAAACTTTCAAACGGAAATCATCCTCCTGACCCAGTAAGAACTCTATACTACACCGAATGAAGTGAAAAAGAAGAAGAAAAAGTCGGAATACATTAAAGAATATAACTTTGAACGTTTCTCTTGAACGGATATATAATGAAGCGAAAGAATATACGAAGGAAAAGAATAAAAGGAAAAAACGTAAGGGTATTCAAAGTTGCATATTATCTATTAGGATGCGATGATATTGACTGTCGTCCAACGCAAAGGGAACCAACCACAAGTTAAGAGAACAAAAATCTAGTCCAAAGTAGGGAAAGAAAATAACAAAGGGTTGTGAAAAGGGTGGTAGGAGACGAAATGGTTGACTGGTACTACTACTATGTGACGTCATCAATGGCAGGGGGAGGAATAGAAAGAAGCCTGTTGAAGATGCAAAGGAAGAAGGAACACTCGAGGCTTTAGCTGACATGGCTTTACGTGCCGGTATAATGGCCCTTGTCTTCGCGGTTCCAAGTTCTATTCAAGCTTGAGGCGACTCACCGGTCGCTCGCTGAACGACACCCAGCGTCGTTAAATCTGCTTAGCAAGCCTTGCCTTACTTGCCTTACGCTTCCTCATTTCTTCTTTCCTCTTTTCTCTTTTCTCTTTATCTCCCACCTTTTCTTCCCTTTCTTCTCCTTTCGATCGAAAAAAAAGACCAGAAAAAAACCCCCAAAAAAGTTGTACATCGAACATATCGAAGCTCTTTTTTTTGCTCGTAATTTAACGATTCACTCAAATGGATTTGTCAAAGTATCGCTCATTTTCTTCAACAAATATTGCAAGTATTTCTTTCCTTCTTTTTATTGTGCATTTTTGTAAGTAATCCTTACGTTTTTTCATCTTTCAATTCGTGTTTTCTTATTTTCTCATATTCGTCTGACAATTACGGGATAAGAATAAGATGAAGAAATTTGTTCACAACTCCATCGGAATAGGTAGGATGAAATCTCAAAAGATTCTATTTGGGATAATCATAATAGAATTTGAAAAGTATCGCTGATTTTGTTCCCTAAGACTGCGGAGGTGTTTTTATTTATTTTCGTATTTGTTAAAAATCAGTGAAAAACGCAGGAGATACAGTGTAGAGAGAGAGAGAGAGAGAGAGAGAAAAATAAAATCAAACTACCCAAGGGAATCGAATAATCTACGTTTCCTCTCCGGCGGTACAGTAATCCTCCGTATTTCCCTGTCGACCTTACGATTCACTCCGAGGTAACTTCAGTCAAGCTTCTCATCTACCCTACGCGCAAATCTCACCTCCTTCTACCTATATCTTCTATCTCTCTTTCGAACGATATACAAATTGAATCGACTCGTACCTGCTACTACCCCTACTACTCATTTTTTTTTTTACTCCTACGTTGTCGTTCGATTCTAATGAGATCCTTCGATGTTGAGTTATTCGCGAGAGTATCCCGAATACTGTTACTCAAATCAGAACGAGAAAAATACTATTCCCTGTTCGTTCTAAAGATGAAGGATGAAGATGAAGGATGAAGATGAAGAAGAGAGAAACCGGGAAACCCTGTGGAAGGGAACCCTGTGGAAGGGGGTTAGGGGATAAACTGAGTGAGTGACTGAATGAGAAGGGGCAAGGAGAGAACATTTGCATGTAAAAACGAAAGAATGCAAGACACGTCGGACTGAGCTCTTGTATATAGAAAGGGAAGCATGGTAAATAGGCGAGCAAGCGTAGAAACGACGTTTGACGCTGAACTCACGCTTCCGGATTATTTACGAGCTGGATGAGACCTGACTCTGTTAGCACGGTAATGTACTTTAGGCCATCTCCATTATTCAACAACGAACTTTGGATAAGAATGATCGAAAAGATCGGAAAGATCGAAAAGATCAATTCCATGAAATAAGCTGCCAATCTTTTTCTGTCTACCTCGATTACTACTAATGCATTCGTTTGTCTCTCTTATATCCTATCTTGAGAGAGAGAGAGAGAGAGAGAGAGCTTTGAGTAAGGTCATTTCAATATAGTTGTTTCTATCCCGGAGGAAAAGGTATTGAGTATAGCTTGGTCTGTTACGTTCGTCAAGAAACTTGGATGTTCTTGGTCTGATGGAAATTAGGTGAAATGTTAGTTCAACGTGTTAAGGAATAATGGATATAACAGAATACGCAATAGATTATTAATACGGATATCATCTATATTTGCATTAGCTCTCTCTCATGAAAAGTTATATATCGTTCAACTTATATTTCAACTTTATTAACTATTTTTATCGGAAAGCGTAACGAAGAAATAATCAAGGAATTTGTTGTTATCATTTTTTAACAAACGACATCATCTCTACTTAAAGAGTTTCAAATTATTTTCTGATAGGTATAATTATTTAAAAAAAAAAACAAACAAACCTTATGCACTAGTATTCAATCAAAAGAATAGCAGCAGAAATGCATCCTTGTTTTTTCATGTACTGTGGAAAATCTGTATGTTATTACCGACTGCAAAATATGTGTCGTCATCTAGTGGTAATAATTATTACTTCATCTTATCGACTGGTAAAAACATTTATCGCCATCTAGCGGTAAAGACTATTATTTGATTTTACCGACCAATGTGTTGTTGCCATCTAATCGAAAAAAGACACGCGGTACTACTACTTATTACTTCAAATATATAATAAATATTATTTAATATTTTACTTGTGTGGGTTAGATGTAAATAAATATCAATATGAAAAAAGCAAATAAACGAAAAAGTGTTACTTTAGTATTTGATGAGGATAAAAGACGGTAAATGCAATATATGCACAATTAAATAATAATTAGTTAAAGATTCAAATCATAATTACATATGTCTATTTTGAGGTTAACTATATTTGAAAATAATTTCAGACAATTTTTAGGAGGATTTCATAAACGAAAAGTACAACGACAGAAAAAAGCTAAAGAAGAATTCCTAAAGCAATTGAAAGAAGAAAAAAAAAGAATAAAACAAGATGTAAGTTATTATTTTCTTTCAATTATATTACTGTAATTAATGTTATACTTATAATTTGAAAATGAAATAATATGTAGGTGCAATTTGTAGGCACGTGAACGATATAAAAAATTATTATCAAATCGTGACGTACCAGAACTTGAGAAATTGCTATCAGAACGAGAATTCGAAACAGAAACTCATACAGTTAGTATCTTAGAAATGGATATTGAATCATTATACGAAAAGAATAAATATATTGGAATCAACAAAGCAGTTGACAATAAGGAAGAAGAATTTGAAAAAGAGGAAGAGGAAGAGGAAGATGAAGAAAGTGAAGAAAAATCTACAGCAAAAACTTCTGTACGAGGAGTGAAAGGTAAAAATATTGAATCGGCAAAGGATTTAAAAAAAGCTATTAAATATGCCGCATTGAAAGAAGTGAAGAAAAGTAAAGTGTTTCAACAGAAAAATAGATTAGAACACAACAAAAATAAAAAGTTAAATATTAGGAAAAAGAAAAAACAAGAGAAAAGATTGAAAAGATGTGATGGAAAATTGAAGAGGAAAGGAAAACGCTAATTTGATAGGAAACGCTATTACGCTGTTATGTACACTTTCATGTAATTTTATAGAACAATTATTTTTAAATATTATAATTAAGCAAAAATATTTTTCATGCAGTTTTATTAAATTGTCATTTATATTCAAATATACTCTTAGATCTCTTTTGACTTTATTTTGCTTTAGCAAAAGGGCAGATATCTTTGTTAAGACAATCTTTGCATTTAGGAAAACGAGGTAAACAAATTTCTTGACCAAATCCAACGAGAAGATGATTTATTTCATTCCAAAATTCTTTAGGCAACCATTCTTCTACTTGTTTCCTAGTTTCTTCTGGTGTTTTAGTTGGTTTTTTGACCCAATTTAGTCTATTACAGATACGATGTACATGTGTATCTACCCCAATACCACTTACTTCGCCCCATGCTATTTGCATACAAATATGTGCCATCTTTGGTCCTACCCCAGGTAAATCGCACAACTCTTTTATAGTCTTTGGAATATCGCCATTGTATTTATCCAATAATATAGATGAAGTTCTTTTCAGGTAATCAGCTTTTTTCTGAAAAGTAATCATGTCTTTAGTTAAAATTCTTAATATCATTTTAGAAGAAAATAAATGTAGTAAATAAAATGTTAAACACCTTACATTGGCAAATCCAACCGGTTGTATAAGTTTGATAAGAACATCATTAGGTGTAGCCATTATAGTACTCGGTATACAACCATAAGTAACTAAACGTTTCATAGCTGCATGAGTTATTTGATCTTTAGTTTGACTACTTAACATCAATGCTATTAAACATTGATATCTATAAGTTGAATCATTAGCATCTGGATCTGCACATTTATGACAACCCATTTCGTCTACGGGTGCAGTTTTATGTTTTCGCATTTCTTGTATATTTTCTAAAATACGTTTCCAATTGGACGGTTCCCAAGCAGATGATGCATCATCTTCTGTTTCTTCATTTTTCATTATTCTATTCTCTATTATATTCTCTTTTGTATTTACTTCTACGATAGGAACTGTATCATCACTTTTAATCTGTGGCTTAACTTCATTCGATTCTTCATATTCTATTTTAATTGGTACATTTTGTTTCTTTCTAACTCTTTTCTTCTGTCCTTTTTCTGATTCTTTAATATCTTTCGATGTACGACCTTCTTCATTCATTTTCTTTTCAATTTCCTTACATTTATCGTTGTTTACATTTTTTATCTTAGATGAATGATCATTTTGTTGACTAAAATAAGGTGAATTTTGGAGTAACGTTCGACTATTCATTCGTTGACTAGATCTCAAAGATGTCGACGTTTTCAAAGCTGTCAATTTCAATTTTTTACTCATTTTATATATTATTTAATGTTAAAAATACTATACTTATCACGCACGAACACGTTTTACACCTGATAGGGAGTAATCGAGGAATGTGCCATCCCCTCCATACACGGAACTCTACGTGCATTTACGATTTATAGATGACGCTATCATAACCTTATTTCTATTCGTGTTTCAATTCAAAATACACACACGGTGAATTTAATCAGAAAAAAAAAAAAAAAACACTAATCAAAATGACTCAATCTAAAGAAGTAACCGAAGAATTGTTCGAATGTTATACAAAAACTGCTGAAAATATAATTATACATTTTCGTAAGTTTTAATATCTTTAAGCTATGTTTTCATGAAATTATAATACATATATTAATAAATATAGGTTAATAATTTGTAGAAGAAAGAGAACAGATAATAGATGATTTGAAAGATGTTGTACAAAAGAAGTGTGAATTAGATACTAAATTAAATATGATTCGGGAAATAAAAGATGAAATATTGGAAAAGTATGATAATAAAATAACGGATAAAAATATACCTAAAATTATGAAGGTAAATTATTACATTATATATACTTATTCTGTGTAACTGGTGGTTCAAACGAACACGAATCGAAAATGTACAATCAAATCTATTGTTTATATCTATTTTTCTATTTTTGAGGACAATAAGTTTCAATTGAATTTGATTGAGTACAATATACAATATACAAGGTACAAGAAATGTCATCGTGCAGAATCATCTCCTTCTCGTTTGTATTACTATCAGTTACAGAGAACATCTTGTATGTATTAAATTCAAAGTATATGAAAATTGTTCAAGTCAAAGAAAATTGTTTGATCAATACTAGGATTATGATAAAGCTGTATCTAAAATGAATGTTGATGTATCTACAAATGAAAGATTCCTGGAATTTAATAGAAAATTGCAAGCATTATTGACCGGTGAGTAAATAATACAAAACAAAAAGATAATACACACACACACACATATTATTAAAAACATTATTTTAATGTAAACAGATGCGAATAAAAATCAGAACATTGAGGAAGATAACAGCGATGAAGAATTACAATTACAAACAGATTCCATGAATGTGATAGATCCTATTTCAAAAGTGAGGATAAAAGATCCGGTTAAAAATATTGCGTGTGGACATACTTATGATCGTCAAAATATTATGGCATTGTTAAAAGTAAATAAAAAAACAAGGTCAGTGCATGTCAGTGCAACAAATTACATAAATGTTTTTTGGTACAATTTTTTGTCAAAATAAGCAATTTTTTGTTTAGGTGTCCCATGGTTGGATGCAAGAGTACAAAGTATGTAGAAATAAAAAATCTACAAACGGATGTTGCAATGAAAGTATTTCTTCAAAGGAATCCTATTTAATATTGTGACATTAAATGATTTTCTTCAGACATGCTCAAAATATTTCGGCGGTATATTCACAAATTTATGATTAATTAAATTTCAAGGTTTTTTTTCTTTTGCAATCCATACCAAATGTTTACATAAAACAGTGTGTTAGAACACGAGTTACTTATATATTATAAAACATAATAAAAAAAAAAAAACAAGAAGAAACAATTTGAAAAATGTGCTTGACAATACAATTGCATTGCATCCAGAGAGTGCTTTAAAAAAATGTTGCTAATTTTTTTTTTGTTTTCTTTTTTTTTAAATAATATTATATAAAATCAAGTAATTCTTAATAATACTTTGAAATAAAGTAGAGAAATGAATTTCTTTTATTTCTTTTAACATATAATTATAATAATTCGGTAATAATACTATAATATATATGTTCTTTTATATAATATATAAATTACTTAAAAAATAATTTAATAGATAAATAACTTTAATAAAAAATGTAAATAAAATAGTTAAATCGATTATGTCCAATCAGCAGATAGACAGTTTCCCTTTGTAGACATTTACTATTAGAAGTAAACTAAAAGGAAAAGGAGATAATACATGTATTAATAAGAGAAATGTGATGTCATAAGATAAATCCAGACGTTTAGCTTATCTCTCACATGATTATTCATTAAAATGACTATTTTATTATTTTTTTATTCTAAGGTAAATTTAATGCATTGGTTTATCATTTCATGAAATATCATCAATGCATTCTCCCTCCTCTTTGTACACACTTGTTCTTTATCGATAAGAATTAATGTTAAATAAACTGAAAATAAAAATAAAAGTATACAAATTGTTAAAAAGATATACATATATTAATAACATTAATAAAAAAAATGCATGCAAATCTTGTACATTGAAATTAATTACAATACAGTAGTGGCTTTTGAAATTATAATGATACATTTGTTTAGATTAAAAATAAAATCATATTTGAAATTATTCAAATATACAACTAATAACTAATACAATTTCGAACAATATTTTATGCGCAATAAAATCAGTAAGAATAAAACATAAAACTACAAATATAGTAAATATGAAGAGTTAACATAATAATAAGTACTTCCTTTTTCCTAAAATTATTTCTATGCGTGCTTAATTCGTTATTACACTATGAATTAGAAAACATAAAAAAAAAATAACTTATCGTTTAAAAGTCAATTGTGCTATTTATTATTAACAAATAATCCAATATATTCAAATATTGTCTTTCACATTTGATTCATTTTTCAAACAATAGTAAATATATATAGAATAATGTGAATTTGACTGTTAGAATTCTAAGCGTTTTTTAATTTATTTCTAACGTCTGGATTCAATGCAATTAAGAAATAATTAATAGTAATGGACGGAGTAGAGGAATGTATCGGCAATAGCAACTAAATATGTATATATACTAAATATTATGAAAGATTCTAAAAATGAGATCTCACATCATTACTTGTACGACTTGTATAACTGAAAGCACTAGGCTGTGAAAATATATAGATGGTAGTATAGTCAACAAATATTGAATATGAATTTACAAATTAATATTACTTATACAATGATTCTTATCATTGCAGGATAAAGTAATGGAGAGTTAAAAACAAGATCTTTTTTTCTTTCGTCTTTTCTCTTAGGAGAAAATTGAAGCAATTAATTTCTGATAAGTATTATCAGATTTGTAAAAGTAAAGCAATGTTCACTTCAGGTTACTTTTTTATTGCATTCAGTGTGGTGAATGAATGTACTCAACCTGGAATCTGGTTATCAGCACTATTAGGGTCAGCAACAAGCGTTGTAGAAGTATTAGAATCCAGCATTAAAGTAAGGGTTTCTTCTTCTTGATCAGAAAGTGGTGCTACTAGCGTCTCATGTATATTAGCTTCCTTTAATTTCAGCTGACTCGGCAACTCCGTAAGTACTGGCCCGTACTGCGAAGTGGAACCCACCAGCAAGTCAGTCGATGGATTCAAACCGCCCAACATCTTTCCTCATAGCAACGCGTAATTAAAATAAGAAAACGAACATACGTAACATAAAAAGATCGTGCCCGGTGAAGAAGAAAAAAAGAAGAAAAAAAGACCAAAAAAAAAAAAACAGAAACAGAAAAGAAGAAGAAGAAGAAGAAGAAAAAAAAAAAACTAAAGTAAAAAGAAAGATTTTCATTGTAACAATTGTTCTTACCTGACCACTACCTCCAGTAATTCCACTCCTTGGTGATTTGTTACGTTGGAAGAATCGAAGCCATGCCCAAACAACATTCAATAATATTCCGACAAATATCATTCCTGCTCCTAATGCTACAGATCCCTTAGAAGCTCCTTCAATATTCTCCTCCACTTGAATAGTTGTACTAGTCGAAGATGATTCCTGCTTTACCTATGATCAATGTTCAAACAATTTTTCATATATATTTGTTCACCGATAAATAAGGCGTTTTTTTTTTTTTTTTTTTAATGCTGCGAAGGATACTGATCAATAAATCCTGCTATCATTCGTGTTATCTCCATACTCACCACTGGTATTACCTTATCAGTGGGAGCAATCCTTTATCACGAAGCAGCGAGGAAGGTACTCTGAGGTATGAGAATGTCATTTAAAAGACGGATGAACACGACAGAGAGAGAGAAAGAGAGAATGAAAGGAAGTGAATGATAATAATAATAATAATAAGAAGAAGAAGAAGAAGAAAAGAATAAATCTATTTGAAATAAATGTCGAAAATAATGAATTACCTCTGTCGTTCGTTGATTAATGTTGTCGGTTGAGACCAGACTCACAAGCATTGTAGTGAGTCCAACGACGAAGAAGGACAATCCAACAGACAATAATGTCCATTCTAGCCATTTTCTTGAATTAATCTTATGCCTCGATGCAATTCTCCAAAAACCACTTCTTATTCCACCAGCACTACCACCGGTACCATCACCTCCACTATCATACGTGTATCCTACCGTCGTAGGTTGATAAACAGCACCACTGTCTGGCATTTCTCCTTCTTTTTCTTCTTCTCCTTCTTCTTCTCCTTCGTCTTCTTCTTTTCAAAAATGCACGATGATCACTTGTTACAGGTTTTTTTTGACGTAACCAAGCCTGACCATTTAAAAGTATCACTTGGACAAGCGATATAAAATAATACAATGACTACAATCGTAAATTGTCGAAGAACAATTTTTGATAGAATGGAAATTGATATAAAAATGATTGTGCATCTATGCGATTGCAGCACCATCGTGTATCTTAATCGATCAACTATTACTACCTCCTATTTTTTAATATATCTATTTAATTTCCATATTTTCCATTGATTTCTGTAATATTGAACATTTTTGTCGAGTTATAAAGACAATTATTTTATTAATAATATAATTATAATATTAATGATATTTGTTCAATGATGTATGTATGACAGTAATTCATAATTACTGAATTTTAATAGAATTAATGTTATTACACATCTATCGAGTGATAAGTCAATGAAGTTGTTGATATACTTACATCGTACATTGATTGAAATTAAAGAACAATATTTGTATTATAAATGTTAGAAAAATGAATGTTGTATACTGTATAGTAATCTGAATGTAAATTCGTTGAAATAACAATCCTTAGGATGACAAAATACCGTAACCCTTGAAAAGTCTTATAATTGTATTCAATTGTTGTATTCGTCAATTATTTAAAAAAACATTTTTCTTTGTCCATTTGTATTCTTTGCTTTTTTTAATACTAATAATATTTGTTATTATTTATCATTTTGGCGATGTATTATTGATTAAATGTTATCATATGTAATAATATTTATTTATAAATGCAATATTGAACAGTATCCTGTTGAATATTACATTAATTCAAGTGAAAACATTATGGAAAAGCTGATTAATTATCTCACCCCACTACTTACATATACTGTAACCTTTACCCTGTAGAAACGAAGTAACTTCTATTCATTCATTTATTTGCGCGATAAATGTTCAAGAATTTAGTTAGCTAGATAGTTGTTAAAAGGAAGGATGGCACCAGCACTTAGTAAACATACATTGAAGTATGCATTAGCTGGATCTTTTGCAATTAGTAGTTTCATATGGTTCGTCAAAAAAAAAGGAAAGAAACATGTCAAAAATAAGTAAGTAATTGTGTAATAAGATAATTGTGTCTATCATGTTTAATAATACTTTTTGTTATTTTCTTCATTGACAGAAATATTAATTGGTCTAACAACAATATACAATATATCATTAAAGAGGTAATTGTTTGAAAATGGTTAAAGATAAAAATGAAATAGCAGTAGAAATGAATTAAATATTATTTCATTCTATTAGGACAAACGTAAAGGTTCGAAGGCTCAAGTCAATGCAGTATTTTTCCGAAAATTGTTTAAACTATTGTCCATTGCCATTCCCGGAGTGATATCATCGGAATTTTTCTACATGTTGCTTATCGCTGCTTCTTTAACTGCAAGATCAATTTGCGATCTTTGGTTTATACATACAGTTACTCTTATCGAAACGTATGAATCAGCAATTTTTTAATTTATTCTTCAATTCTATCAATTCTATCAATTTTAATTTGTTTCATAATGTTGTTGTTGTTGTTGTTTTTCTTTTTTTGTTTCTAGATCAATCATCTCCATGAATGTTCCTTTATTCAAGCAACTTTTGTTGAAATTTTTCTTTGTATTACCTAGCGTGAGTATTTCAAAATATCGCTTAAATTTTGACCAATGATTTAATATATGTATGTAGATTTTAGTTCTAACTGCTTTATATGCTTCTACTGCTTTGTAATTTAACTGTTAAATTATTCATTGTATATTTAAATGTCATTTTATTTGTTTAGTTAGCAGTTGTGAACAATATTTTAAAATACAGTATAGGTGAAGTTAAGTTGAAATTACGCACAAATCTAACGCACCATTTAATGAATCATTATCTCAAGTAAGTTTTACTTCTATTTTCGGTTAATCATATCATTAATAATTAATAATTAATAATTAATAATATATATTTTGATTTGTTTTCACAGGGGCTTTACATATTATAAGATGAATAATTTAGACTCTCGAATTGCAAATCCGGATCAACTATTAACAACCGATGTAGATAAATTTTGTGAAAGTTTTACAGACTTGTACGGAAATATAATGAAGCCAATGTTTGACATTATTTTATATTCTTTCAGGATGTCCACTACTTTAGGCGGGCAAGTATGTAAATATATTATAATACTTATTTCATATATTTCCATTATTTCTGCTCTAAGTGAATACATTTACTTTTGTATTGTATTTTCATATTATTCTATACTGCATATATTAATGATAATTTAGTATAAGGAAAAATGAGCAAGTTTTTTCTTTATATTCATCAATATCATACACTTAAAGAAACCGTTTCTTTTTTGTTCTTTTCAGTTATTTGATATTGTTTCTTTTTTCTGTTTTTCCCTTTTCCCTTTTTTCTGTTTCCTTTGTAGACACCATTATTGGTACTTACATATCTCATTTTCGCTGGGTCTTGTACTACCTACTTGAGAAGACCAATAACACAAATGACTGTGAAAGAACAACAATTGGAAGGTGAATATCGACATATCAATTCACGTTTAATCACCAATTCGGAAGAAATAGCATTTTATCAAGGAAACAATAGAGAAAAATTAATTCTTTTAACTAGTTTTCATAAATTGGTAAGTGAACAAACTTTTGCTAGAGATAACTTTTTATATCAACTCATGTATATTTCATATATTTTCTATATTTTCTATATTTTCTATATTATGTTTCAGATTTCACATGTTCGCAAATTTTTGGAATACAGATGTTTCATAGGCATATTTGACAATTTTATTGGAAAATGTAAATTAATAACTAAGTAAAAAACGTACATATATTTATTATTTATTATTATTAGATAGTTGTTAAAAATGTATGGTATTTCTTTTTTTTCAGATATAGCAATATTGTTCGGTTTTGTTGCCGTTGCTATACCATTCTTTAAAAAGGATCACCCAATTCTTTCAGGCTCTTCTGAACATCGATTTAAATATTATTATACATATGGAAGAATGTTGGTTAAATTTGCAGAAGCATTGGGTGTACTCATATTATCAAGCAGAGAGATAACAAGATTAGCTGGTTTTACAGCAAGAGTTACAGAAATAAAAGATGTATTGAATGACTTGAACTCTGGAAAATATGTTAGAACAATGATCGCCGACTCGAACATTGATTCACACATTTATCCAGGTGCTGGAAAGATCATTGCAAAAGATAACGTTATACAATTCGACCGTGTTCCTCTTATAACACCAAATGGAGATATTCTTATCAAAGAATTGTCATTTGAAGTTAAATCTGGCATGAATGTGTTAGTCTGTGGTCCAAACGGTTGTGGAAAGAGTTCTTTATTCCGAATTCTTGGAGAGGTCAATTTATTCATTACTTATGTTTATTTTTATTTATTTGCTAATGCTTATATTATGTTAACAATTCTATTTCATTATTTTCATTAGTTATGGCCTGTTTGGGATGGTGTCGTTACAAAACCACCACGTGGAAAATTATTCTATATACCACAGCGTCCTTACATGACGCTAGGTACTCTAAGAGATCAAATTATTTATCCTCACACTAAAGAAGAAATGGCCAGAAGAGGACACACTAACGACGAAGATTTGTTAAATTATTTACGTATAGTGCAATTAGAATATCTTTTGGAAAGAGAAAATCAAGGAAGTCCTGACAATCAAAAATGGGATGCCGTAGCCGATTGGATGGATGTTTTGTCGGGAGGAGAAAAACAACGTATTGCGGTAAGATTAAGATTTAACATATTAAGCGCCAAGCTTATTTTGTCGGAAAATGATTGTTCACAAAATATAGAATACTTTGTTGAAATATTTGATTTGATTTGATTTGATTTGATTTGATTTTATTTAGATGGCCCGATTATTTTACCACAAACCACAATTTGCAATACTTGATGAGTGCACGAGTGCCGTTAGCATTGATGTTGAGGACTCTATGTATTCTTATTGTAAAGACGCAAATATTACTTTATTTACTGTTTCTCATAGAAAATCTCTTTGGAAACATCACGAGGTAACACAAACAATTGTTTATGCATTAAACAAAATTAATTGTTAATAATAATTATCGATTTGATTACAGTACCTTTTACAAATGGATGGTAGGGGAGGATATGAATTTAAAAAGATCGATCTAGATTCAGAAGAGTTTGGATCATAAATATATTTCTATTTTATCCTTAAACAATTTAACTTGGTGAAATATACTTACACTTAATAGCAACCATAAGCATGGGGTGGTAATGAAAACAAATGAAATAATGAGCAAACGAATACATAGTTTCTTATTAAAATACTACATTTTCGTAGATTTCTTTTAGTTTCTTCAAATCTAAGAAGAAATAATGAATAGCCATAAATATTATTTCTATGTGAATAAGATGTATAATCAAAACTATTTCAAAAAATAGCTTTCATATATTTTTCTATTCGAATTTTCTATTTTGAAATGTTCATTTATAAGTATGTACATATAATACGAACTCACTCTTTCTCTCTCTCTCTCTCTCTCTCTCTCTCTTGTTCTTCCAGTGTTTTATCAAACATTTATATATAAATACATTATTGTATATATATAGCTGAAGCTTGTATCATAATAATACATCGTTAGAAAATGATGTATATATTTGCTTTGAAATGAAGTAAATCTTATCAAATTATATTTTATTATTACAATTATTATTGTAACTAATAAATCGTGTTAACTAATGAATAATAAGAAAACCAAAGAGCTATGTATAAGTGTATATATAAATGTATATGCACAATTTTATCTCTCTACGAAATATTTGATGCGATTGAATAGTTATCATTATTTCATGTGTATATGGCTTTGTTATTAATATTTAATATATTATTATACTTTATAAGAAGGAAGGAAAGATATAAAAGGGAGAAGGAAAAATATGGAAAATAATAAAGGCATTCAAATACAAACAACAAAACTATGTACTAAGATTGTAACAATTAAGGTGAAAGGGTGGGTAATAATTTCTGAAAAAGAAATGTTTAGAAGAAATAAATAAAACAACATAAAAGAATAAAATAATAAATGTATTTGTTTATATTATAATTAGTATTACAATTCATGTATAATTATTCCGATAAAAAGAAATGGTGGTATCGATGATAACATAGAATAAAACAATAGAGCGCTGAAATTATTTAAATTTGGCGGTCAGGCATTCGAATCAGCGCCATTATTGCACAGTAGTTCGGAAAAGTTCGGTTACGTTCGGCTATTTAACAGGAGCTCTTCCAGGGTTTACTTGCTTGCTCGATGGTAGTTGCGTTTAGTTGTAGATACTTAGGGAAGGAGGACGAGTGTGTAGTGACAAGAATGAACACATGAGGTCGTCGAAAAGAGAGAGAAAAAGATAAGAACAAATAAAAGTGGGTGAGAGAAAGAAGAAAAGATAGATAGAAGGGGCGGAGAAGGAAGCAAAGGTAGTTTGCGAGCGTCTATCATCACGTATGTTCGTATTACCATTGTACATACCGGTAACAAAATAAAGACAAAAGATTAATAAGGTTAAAATATTGTTCAAATTGTGATATACTTTAGGAAATAAAAAAAAAAGAAAAAAGAGAATCTCTCTGTGAACGTTCGATTATTTATCGGCGATATCGATCGAGAAATTTATTATTTTTAAATGTATATTCGTTCCCATTAGTTTACCTTTTACAATCATTAGTAAAATAAGTTTACCGATTCGACCAAATTACCTTTGCCTTCAGAGCTTCCCTCAGTGCTCCCCTCAGTGCTCCCCTCAGTGGTGCGTCTCTCCATTGGATCAAGAAAAATAAAAGATTTCGACGAATTCTTGGGAAGAAGAAGAAGAAGAAGAAGAAGTAGGGAGTAGTAGTAGAAAGAAAAGAGAAAAGAAAGAAACAGAGGTGGAGGAGGAAGAGAAAAACGCTTTAGTGGGATCGATAGATCGAGCGTAGGGGCTACACACTGCTGTGACTCGCGATCGTGGGTGTGGGTGTTGGGTACGAGTGTGCTTTCCCCGTCGCGTGTGCCTGCTTTGGTGCGTGCGTGCGTGCGGTGCGTGCGTGCGTGCGTGCTTGTATCGTGCGTGACCGTGTTTGTAGTTCAAGAGAAGAGGAAGCGACGCGTGAACACGACCACGACAACGACAACGACAACGACGACGAGAACAAGAACGAAAAAGACGAGGACGGCGACGGCAACAACAGCAACGGCAACAGCAACGGCAACAACAACGACGACTACCACTATTACTCCTACTCCAATTATTCAAGGTGGAACAAAGCGAGCAGTATCAGCTTCGAAAGGAAGAAAAAGGAAGAAAATTGTTAAAGATCTCTTCCGAAGAAGGATCTTACGTAGTTGTTGGTGCACGATTCGACAGTATGGAAGGTAGTTCCCAGCCATCAACATCGTCATCGGATATAATTATGGGAAAGGAGAAGGAGGAAGAATCTAAGATACGTAGTAGAACAACTGTTGTCGAAGAGTCCGCTGCTGTTGCTGCCGCCGCCTTGGTGACCTCCTCTCCTGCTGTCTCGTCCTCCTTCTCCCCCTCTTTAACTTCTTCCTCTTCTTCCGTCTCGTCTTCCTCACCATCCTCGCCATCCTCCACTTCTTCCTCCTCTACTTCTTCTTCATCCTCCTCTTGTCCCCCTTCTTCTTCCGCTTCTTCCTCCCCATTTGTCTTTTCCTCCGCCTCCTCAATATCTTCTTGGTTAAATTCACCTGACCCTACCTTACCCAACGAACCGGACTATCATCATCGTCCTCCTGCTGCTGCTACTGCTGTTGCTGCTTCTGCTGCTTCTGCTGCTGCTGCTGCTGCTGGTCGACCCTCAAGTCTAAGGTCTAATTCTTCTTCACCGATCCCAACCACATCCCCGTCCCCGCCAGGGTGTGGCTGCGTCGTGGCTGGAGCCGTCGAACCCGACGAGATTACCATCAGCATCACCCCAACTACTGGTGGACAATTCGATCTTACAGTAGATCGGTCCGAAACCATTGAAAATCTTAAGAAGAATATTTCTAAAAGACTCAAGGTCGCTAAAGAACGCATCTGTTTATTGCACCTCGAGAGGTGAGTAATACTCATGGATGATACATGTTATAATCAAATGATTCATTATTTCTCAGAAAGTTTCAATTTCTTTCATATTTGATCAAAACTGAAAGATTAAATCAACACAACGAAGTTAGTTTACGCAATAGACTTCATGTAGTTCGAAATAGTTAGTTTGAATTTTCCCGCGTAAAAATTCACCTCGATATTCGAAAATATCGATAATATCGAAAATATCGAACGCGATTTCGCGATATTTTATTTTCCTTTATTCATTTTATTCTTATTTTCTTAACAAAGGTGTTTAGTTAAAAATAAAGAAAAATAAAAGAAGTTGTAGGCTCTATCGAATGTATTGTTATATACAGAATTATATATAAATTCAAAATACAAAATGATTTTCAATGAAAAAGAATTAAAAAATGAATGAAGAAAGGTATACAAATCCTTGGGTAGATAGAAGATCGTTCGAAACCGTAAAAGAGAGGGAGGGACGCTTTACGAAAGGAGGAAAGAAAGAGAAACCGTTGTTGACCCGTACGAGAGAATGCTCGAGCTCGCGGAATAGTCGTCACCGGTGTGTGTATGTGCTGCGCTTTCGGACGTGGTGCGGTGGTGCGGTGGTGCGGTGGTGCGGTGGTGCGGCCACGATCGAGTAGGAGAAATCTCTTTCTCAAAAGAGGAAGGAGTGTGAGAGAAATGGGAAGGGCAAAAGGGGGAATGAAAGAAAAGGAGGAAAGAAGATAGATGTATGAGGGAGTGCGTGTGCACAACACACGTTTCGTAGGCGTCGTCGCCGTCGTCGTCGCCGTCGTCGTCGTCGTGGGGGCCGTCGCTCTCCATGGATCCTCCTTCAGCGTAGCGCGCGTGTATGCACAAGATACAAAGTACTACTACTACTACTACTGCACGTTATAAAGAAAGGGATGGATAGATGATAAAGGGAAGGTGTAGGGAAGGGAAGGGAAGGGAAAGAGTTAGATAAAGAGTTAGGTAAAGATAAGAAATAACTACTAGAAATAGAAAAAGAGGGAGAGAGAGAATCGTGGTGCAGTAGGTAGAATACCTCGATAAATTGCGTTCTCTAGAGCGAAACGATGACAGCCATCTACGACGTACGTTCTCGCGCTCGCGCGCACGCACACACACACACAACATAGCGGGGTCCATTGGTGCGCGGGGAAAGAGGAAGGAAACGAGCATTGAGAGAGAGAAAGACAGCAAGCTCAGTCGCGAGGGCGACCGAGTGGAAGAATTCACGAGAGGGTAGGAGTAAGAGGAATAAAAAAAGCAAGCGGCCGGTCAGAGAACGTAGGACAGAGAGCGGTTATTCCCGTACACGGATCCATCGACGATGATGCTGTTTTTTTTTTTTATTCTTTCTCTCTCTCTCTCTCTTCTCGCGTTTCTCTTTTCCCTAGAATTACACGTTTTCTTCTTCTTCTTCTTCTTCTTCTTCTTCTTCTTCTTCTGATATAATAATGTTAGCAGTCGNAATAAAAAAAGCAAGCGGCCGGTCAGAGAACGTAGGACAGAGAGCGGTTATTCCCGTACACGGATCCATCGACGATGATGCTGTTTTTTTTTGAAGGTTCTCTTTTATTCCTCGCGTTTCTCTTTTCCCTAGAATTACACGTTTTCTTCTTCTTCTTCTTCTTCTTCTTCTTCTTCTTCTTCTGATATAATAATGTTAGCAGTCGAGAATCATTAATTCTTCAATTACAAATAGATTAGAATGAAATGTTGTTTATTAACAGTTATAGGTAGGAAATAATAATAAAATATGCATCGTGTTGTTTTTAGATTTATTATTAGTTATTAAAAAACCATAGGAATGTTGAGAAGCCTGAAAAATTTTGGAATAACAGGTTGCATTCTATTGTCTTCTGTATTTGTTTTTCTACACGTCGAGCCAATTATTTGTTGTGGTTAAAAGAAAACATCAATCAGATAAAGCGTTTGTTAAAATCAATTAAATTCCTTATAAAATAGTATTGAAATTATGTGAAAAATGAAATTTGGCGCGTAACAATACCCAGAGGGGGATGATGGTGAATTGAAAATAAACGGAGCAACACATCGTACGTGATTTTTTTTCCGTGCATGTATTGGTCGCGCGCGTTCAGGGTCGCACGAGTTGGATTTCTCTCTCTCTCTCTCTCTCTTTCTTTCTTTCTTTCTTTCTTTCTTTTTCTACCTATCCTTTTCTTTCTCTTGTTGAGACGCGACTGCGTGTACGTATACGCGCGTGTGTCTTCCTCCAACTCCCTCCAAGTCCCCGTTCCAGCCCTTGGTTGTTGTTCCCCGTGTGCACGGCGACCTCGTGTGCGCATGCGCCTTATGGAGAAATGAGCTTGGACCAACGGGTCTGTCTCCTCTCTTCTCTTGGCCTTTCCCGTCTCTTTCGGTTACTTTTTGTCGTCCTTTTCTTCTTCCTTTTCTTCTTCCTTTTCTTCTTCGTATTCCTACTATTCTTCAAAGTGTTACAAAGAAATGAACAAATCTTTTTTGCCTTATCTATCGCTTCCAATTCCATGAAATTGTTTATTTACAAATAAGATATTTGATAAGATTTTTTTCAAAGAGAGAGAGAGAGAGAGAGAGAGAGAGAGAGAGATCACTTTTATATGAATACACACAGTACAGATTAATATTATGAATCATATAATGAACATTGCATATTAAATTGTTTTCAAAATAAAACAGGAAGGAAGACAGATAGATCTTATAGATGTGCAAAAGGTCTAGCCCAAGGTTTAGAGTTAATTTATATAGAAGTAATGAGTGGTTTTAAATCAATGATCATCGATTGTCTATTTGCGATATTATTGTTATTTTCCATTGATGTATTGGAACCTGTTATAAGTCGATATCGTATCGTTTTGTGTATAGGTAAATACCATTCGTACTTTGAACTACCAATACGTTTCTTGCTTTCCATACCTTGTTTTTTCAACATTTCTTTTATCATTGGGAACTTTGAAAGCATGAATATTTTTAATATTCTTTTATATCAATATTATCTTATGTTGTGTTGATTTAATACAAACTTTCTTCCTAGTTTAATATCTATTTAATTAGAAGGAAAAAGTTGATTTGTTTATTTATTTGGTTAAATTGTTGCTATAGATTACTGCGCGATGGAACTCTCGAGGAAAATCGTTTACAAGATGGAAGTAGGCTCACATTATTGCCGAGCGTGGAAACAGGACTATTGGTAAGTTTTCTTCGATACGTTGTGTTATATCGAGATTTACGAGAATTAATGAACCTTCATTTATAATTTATGTGCATGCAATATTAGAAATAACATAGGATCATTTGAATTCAAAGAAACGACGACGACGACGACGACGACGATGTTGATGATGATGATGATGATGTAAAATATTGAATTATTACTTTTTTCTTAGTTAATCGTTACTCATTTATTATGCAAAATGTCCTTCGAAGAGTATCCATGTTATTTCTATTATTTGATAATGATGAAAAAGAAAAATGACAAGATTGGATAAATTATTTGGGATAAAAAATGAGTGAGTAGTAGTTTCTTCAAACGTATATGTACAAATGAAGTTATATCGAATAAACGATAGCCGTCAACGTGAAAGAAGTCCGTTAGGTGTGCCGAGGGATGACTCTAGCCGAGTCCATTGAGGGTCTCTCTGAGCTTCGATGCGACGAGGTTTCCTTCCTTCTGCAGGTCTTCTTGTTTCTATCATCTGCCGTTCTGCTGTTGTTTCGTTTCGATCATCGATTAATTTGATCATCTCATCTTTGCCCTTTTTCTATTTCCAATTTGTTTCAAATTTATTTCGAATTTATTTCGAATTTGTGTCTATGATACAAATATTGATAAGAGAAAAGATAATTATAATTATACAAATGATATATATGTATTTTGTAGGCACAACGACCAGAGCAAAGCGTAATGCAAGCATTGGAGAGTTTGAACGACTCGCAGGTGAACGACTTCTTGTCTGGAAAGGCACCTCTAAATCTGACGATGCGGTTGGGCGATCACATGATGCTGATTCAACTGCAGTTATCGACGGTGAGAGTGCCTTTACCAGGTAGCAATCAAACGAACGGCAGTGGTCCCACTAGCTTGACCGTCGGTGGTGGCGGCAACGGAGGAGGAGGAGGAGGAGGAGGCGGAGGAGGCGGTTGCGGGGGAGGAGGAAACAACGTCGTCGGTGGAAATGGGCCGAATCTTTCGACGAATCAAGTACCGCCCCCCTCGCTTCAAAGTAGGCGTTCAACGTTGTTGGCTGCACGTCCTACTATTGCGAGCAGCACATCCTCGTCGAAACTTCAACGAGGAAGCACAGCAGCAGCACCCCGTACGTCCACCCTCGTAAGCCGTTTGGCATCGGCTTTACATGCTGCGGCGACCTGCAGCACGAGTTTATCAACAGCGACCAAAACGACAAGTTCAGTTTGTTCCAGTCGCGCTACCACTGCGTTTTCGGCAACCAACTGTTCGAGTATGTGCCAGTCTCGACTCCTCTACCATCATCATCGTTACCACAGTCATCATCACCATCATCATCACCATCATCATCACCATCATCACCACCATCACCGCCATCATTCGAGGTATAAGCCAACTTGTACCTCGTCCTGTACATCTCTCCCTCCCTGTTCATCTTTAACATCATCTCCTTCTCCTTCTCCTTCTCCTTCTCCTTCTCCTTCTTTACCTGTATCCTCCGACGTCATCTCTTCTTCTCCTTCAACCACCTGCTCCTCTACAACTACTGCCGCCGCCGCCGCCGCCGCAGCAGCC